GGCGATCCGACTGCGGCTGCTGCGGAGGGGTTCAATTGCTATGCAGTCTGGGCGGCTGATGAGGAGGTCAGGCGACGCGTTGCTCTGGGCTTGCACCCGAAAGTCGCTCGGTTAGTCGACGTGGGCCTGTTCAGGCAGTTGGCGGCCGATGGAAAGTCAGGACTGCAACGGCCGCCTGGGACTGGTCGGTCCACATCGGCCTCGCGTTCGAGCTGCACGAGATCGACGTGCGCCAGTTCCTCCGCACATCCGCCTTCACGCAGGGAGGCATGCGACTCGTCCTTGCCAGCGTTCTCGACGGGCTGCACCCGCGGGAAAGGCTGCGTTCATTGCGACCTGAAGCCAGCAAACACCTCCATGCGAGGGACGATCCACTTGCGCGGTTGCATCGAGAAAGAGCCGCTTTCACAGCGGGCGCATGGGGAATGGCAGTGGCGCCGTCCCCCCAGAGCAAGACGGAGCTCCAATGCCAGATCCCGAGATCCTTTGCGGCGCGCGGGTGAAGCACTATTGGCTGCAACAGCTGGGAGACCAGGGTTGAGTTCTCACCGACTTGGCCAGAGTTCGACTGACATCTAACCGACTTTGTTAGGTCCCCCTTTGAGCTCTAACTTTTTCGGTTAGAGCTCGTTCTGAGATCTAGACGACCTTGTTGGATCTCGTTCCGAGCGCTAACCATCTTGGTTAGTGCTCGGTTGGAGATCTAGCCGGCCTGGTTATATCACGATTCGAGTTCTAACCGCCCTTGTGAGATCTCGACTTGAGCTCTAACATACCACATTAGATCTCGATGCGGGCTCTAAGCGGCCTTGCTACATCTCCATCTGAGCTCTAACCGACCATGGTCGATCTCGATGCGAGCTCTAACCCCGCTTGTCCGACATCGATTTGGGTTCCCACTGCCACGGTGGGAACTCGAATATCCAACCCGCGCGTCCCCCCAGCCAGGGGTCGTCGTCCTGCCGCAACTCTCATCCCTTCCCCCTGGAGGTCGTCAGCCTCGCTCCCCTCTTCTCTCTCCTTCCATCCCTCTCCTCAGGTGGTGATCGGCGATCTCGGCTGTGTGGAGATCGCGGACCACCGCGCCAGAGTGAACAAGGAGTTGAAGCCCGCCGACCACAAGATCCACGTGGGAACGCGACAGCACAGGCCCCCAGACGTCTTCTTAGGGAACCAGCGCTTCGCAGTAGAGTTCGACGCGTGGCCCCTCGGGCGCGTGGCCGCGGAGTTGCACTCGCGTCAGCCGCTCCTCCTCCCGGAGAGGTCGACTCGCATGCGCAGGCCATCGGGGAGATCGCGGGGCGCCCAGGCCAAGATGTTGGAGCAGCTCGGATGCCAGAGTGCCCAGCCACATGGCTGGATCCCCTGTCGTTCTTCAACGAGTGGTGCAAGCAGTCGGGCCAGACTTGGCTGACGCCCGAGAGCGCGCCTCGAAGCCTCACGCCGTCGTGGCCCATCTGCGCGCCTCGAAGGCTGTCCCAAGTTCTTCGCCGAGCTCATCCGAAAATGTTTGGCGCGGCGCCCTTCCGCCAGAGCGACCGTCGCCGAGGCCAGCGCCCAGAGCCCCTTGCAGTCGCCTCGCCAGGAACTGCGTGTCAGCGAGGCCACGCAGCAAAGCAACACCGTTTTCGGAACTATAGCGGTGGCAGCCATCGACCCAGATTTGCCCCTTTCCTTGCGGCCATCCCCCAGCTGGAACAGCGCGGCCGAGAAACGCCTGCAGAGGGGAGCTACCGACTCGAAATGCGCGCGGATGGACGAGGCGGCCTTGGGCTTGAAAACCGAGATCGCAGGCGTCGCGGGCGAAGTTGACCCTTTGAAGTGCCGCAGAATGAACGGCGACGCGAACTTGCAGCTGATCCCGCCGAAGCGCTTCGCCGCTTTCGCGCAAGCGATTCGGAAGAAGTGGCGCCCTCGGCTGGAACAGCTGGGATGCAAGATGTGCGAGGCAATCGAGCGCGACCACGTGCCATCGGAGGTCTACGAGAAGGGCGGGGCGCCCATCTTGAAGGATTACTTGGCCGACAACGCGCTCGCGCACGCCTCCATCCAGCTCGCGCAGCCAGCCGCGCGAGACGATGGGTGGCGCACCGACGGTGGGTGCCTGTTGCACGCGTCGGTGACGCTGTTCGGGACACGCCCCGTGGACGTGAAGGTTGAGGGCCGACCGCAAGTCGCTCTCAAACAAGTGCCTTGCTCGCTCTACGCGGACAACTTCTCGGCCCTCGGGCACAACGTCCGCCGACGCGACTAGCGCAAGCACACCCTCGGCGGAGCGGCTGCAACATCCAGGGGCGACGACGGAGCGGCTGACCATAACCATCGCCTGCAGATCGCCATCGCGATCCGCTCCGACGTGTTCCGCGACTTCAGGAAGCGCAAGATCAACTCCACGCTTGGCCCCAAGGAGTTCTTCCACGTCGTCAACTACGCCGTGGCCGAGCACTTGTCCGATGTCCCCGTGGCGCTCCTTGACCTGACCGAGATGCGGACCGAGCTTGCTCGCACTGACCGCGCCAGGCAGCGACCTGCCACCGCTGCTGCTGGCGATGGCGACTAGGCACCGCTGGCGGCTCGACTGTAACAGCCCTCGGCATTTTCTGGCGGAGACCTCGAATTTCGATGGCTTCGAAAACGCAGCGGGGAGGGGGGCGCTTGGGGTCACGGATGCTAGCGGGAGCTACGTCCGCCCCGACGCCCACCGACCTTGTCGCCGTATTTGCGGCCGCCGACCTTGGGAACGAGTATGGTGCGCATACTGTTGGCGACCTGTTGGCCCTGGAAGCTGTTCGTATGCTGGTCACGCTGGAACGGCTAGGCTAGCTGTTCCAGCATGACCAGCACGTGAATAATACCATCGCCATCCTGAACGTCATCTTCATCATCAGCAACGTCATCGCCATCCTCATCATCACCAACGCCATAGTCATATTCAATGGAATCGGCATCAGTGACGTCATCGTTCCCAAGCCGCCACCATCGTCATGAATGTCATCATTCACGCGGGCAATTTACGATGATGCTGGCGGTGACGATGACGACGATGACGATGGTGATGAAAGGACCGTGGCGACGAGGGCGATTAAGAGGACGATGACGCTGAGAGCGTTGATGCTAATACATATGTTGATGTTGATCATGGTTTGGAGGTTGAGTCGGTTGAGCCTGGAAAGCCCACCTCAAAGACAACCAGCTCAACAATAGTTAAACATGATATGGGGGCAATGTTTATACTACTTTTTGATATTTTTGTTTTGTTGTTGATTTTTCATTTTTCTTTCAAAATCCGCCTGTAGGAGGACATGCCCGACCTAGCCTGGGATTGCGGGCGCCGCTGGGGTGAGGCAGCGGCAAGGCGATCTTTGCTGGGGGCCCACCCAGGGCAGCGTCCATCGTGGTTCCGCGTTGCGGGAAGTGGGCACGCCGAAGTTGGCAGGTAAGGTGGCAGACATGATTGCGGATGGGCCAGCACCCCGAAAACGGAATATCGGTGGGCCTCTGATACAAGATGGGTTGGCACGCCCGAACTTGACACGCAATCTTGGGGGCATTAACAGATGGGCCTGCACGCCCAAGTTGACACGGAAGGTTGAGCCTCGGATAGTGGACGGGTCTGCACGTTGCAAGTGGTAGGTCAGTTGCGAGATGTTTACACATGCGCATACAGTCAATGTGTGAATTCAGGACGGGTGGTAAGGTTCACCACCCACCAAACCACCCCAACCCAACCCGAAGGCTCAGATTCAGCCTCGATTTCCAGTGGGGGGGGTGTCGGGAAACATCGGAAAACACACGTGGAACCCTTGCCCCCCCCAACCCGAAATTCGGGTCTTCGGGTTGGGTTGGGGTGGTCTGGTAGGTAATCAAAGGTCGCAAGCTTCTGGAGGCCGAAGTTAGGATTTGGGGGCCGTCGGGCGGCCAGCGAACACGGCAAGGGAACAGACATAGGGGTACATACTTCAGATGAACGCGCGCGTCCTTACTAAGCGCGTTGACTGTACATCACGCACACTCACACACACGCACGCACGCACACACGCACGCACGCATGCACGCACGCACGCACACGACCGTCGCCCTCTCCCTCGTCCTCATCACTTCCGTTCTCGTTCTCTCCCCTCTCTCTTCCACGCGCTCGTCGCGCCGGAGCGGGCGCGAGGGGAGATGGGGAGGAGGGAGGAGGAGGCAAGAGAGAGGAGGGGAGAGCGGATGAGGAGGTGGAGGTGGAGGAGGAAAAGGAGAAGGAGGGTGGAGGGTGGAGGGAGGGAGGGAGGGAGGGGGCAGCCCTCCTGCCTTTCCCCCCCCCTCTCTCTCCCCCCACCCTTGCGCTCCTACCTTCTCCTCGTCTACACTCGCCTCTCCCCCTCCCGCCTCCACCACGGCTTCGCTGTCAGCGAATTCCAGCGCCTCCCCCCGCCTCCCCCCATCCTCCTCACTCGGGTGGACCGGGGGTCCAATATAGGTACACGTGGTAGGATCGAGGGCTGCAGGCCATGTGGGCCCTCAGGGGTCCTTCGCAAGGGCCACCGTCGAGACTTGCCGAGCCACCTAGCCCGCCGGTGATCCCGTATTGCACATCGGTCGTTGAAAGTAGGTATTTTGGGAGTCCCAGATTCCAATCTAATTCAAGCGCCTTCCTACTTCAATGATCGAGTGGCTTCACCTTCTCCATTTAGGGGGCGGACGGAACCCAATCTACTTTCAATGCCTTCCTACTTCAGGTTTCTACCTATTTCTTCTGAACGATGGGTACTCTTCGAGCTGGAGATCTTCGATCACTGGGAAGCTCTACGAGTGCAGCCCTTCCGCAGCTCCGTCGTAGCTCTTCGGAAGGCCGTGTGATGCTCTGAAGCTCCTACTCGGAAGGTTACACGGGCTCAAAAGGTGTACGCTTTGTTGTACCATTCATCATCCCAAGTTTATGGCTCCTCATTCACGAACACCCGACTCACCCAGACCGACGAAGACGACGATGACGCCGACGACGACTTCCGGCGGAGGAGGATATTGGCCCCTCGCTGAGCCTCGCCTCGGCATCGGCGTCGTCGCAGTCGCCCATGTCGGTTCTGCTGAAGCCGGCGTCGGCGTCAGCGTCGCAGGCCCCTCCGCGATGAGGACGACGCAGACGAGGCAGACGACGACGACGACGACAACGACGAGGATGTTTAGGACAACGAGTGGCTACGACTAGGACTGAGACAAGGACGAGAACTTCGACGACGACGAGGAGGACCGACGACGACGACGACGAGGGCGAGGACAAGGACGAGGGAGGTATGCGCAAGTTTTCAAGTCTGTGGTCGTTTTCCTTCCACTGCGCCTTGTCGAGAGCCTGCCAGGAGGGACCGGGGTCGTGCCGAGCGGTGCCTCGCAACCTTTCAGAGGAGGGAGAAGGAGGTTTGCGTGAACGCTTGTCCGCTCTCTTGCACGTCGGGCGGGGGGGGGGGCGGCGGGATCTTCGCCGCAGCCGGGCCGGCCCAGATGTCCCAGTCAGAGCGCGCTTAAGCTTTCAGAGGTATCCGGACATCCGAGTCTGTGCCTTGCTTGTCTGACGCTCATGGCTTTCAAGATGTCGGCCAGTGCGTGTTCCGCGCTCAGGGCATGGAGTTTGTTTGAGTGGATCTTCTCGCACGCACTGGCTGGGGGTACGCTCGCTCTTTTTCATTTGTTTCGCGAGTGCCTTCAGAGCGCGCTTTGGGAGGGGGCTTTCCAAAGCAGACAACGAGGGCGATCCTTGACGTCCGCCGACGTGGTTTGTGCTCACCAGTCCGCAGCCCCAGGCCCTGCCGCCTGCCCCAGGGGCAGTTCTTTCCGCCTTCGATCACGCACGTTGCGGGCCCTCGGCCCGATGCCGGGCCCGGGTGCGGTACATCAGTTGTCGCAGCCCCAGCACACAAGGTGCACCTCTCCTCCCCCCTCTCTCCCATTTTGACATGGGAGGGGGGAGGGAAAAGGTGCTCCTCTTGTGCTCACAGAGGGGACCCCAAGGGGGCCCCCTGGAGCCCAAAAGGGGCACGAAAGGTGCACGAGTCTCCCTCCCCCATTTCTCGTCCCGCGCTGGGCTCGAAAGGTCTCAAGGACCGCCCCTCGGAGCAGCCAACGTGTACGTCCTTCAGCCGTACCCTGGTGTCGCCGCCATGGTGCGTAGCGGGAGCCCACCTGTGCAAACCACCCGGCAACCTTCAGCACTATCCTGCACCCATCGGAGGAATTGCTCGCAAGGGCCCCGCGAGCCGCACCCGCAGCCGCACCCGCTGGATCCCCCGTGTGAACTCTCGTCCCCCAGAAAAATCCGCGCCGGCAAGATCGCCGGGGTGGAAACGGCCACATCGCCGGAGATCTGGGACGCCGCTCGGCGCGGCGGCCGCGCGGGCGCGCGGGCGCCCAGCCCCTCGCCCTATCGGGCCCCCAGGGGTCTCGGGGAAGAGCCCACGGCGCGCGGCCCGCACGGAAAAGCCATGCAACAGATGGGACAAACAAACAGGAAAGCATGTTGCTCCGTGTTTTTGTTTCCGGGTTGTTTTATTTTTTGTTTTTACCAAAAAGGTGTTTGTTTTGATGTGTTGGTGATCAGTAAGGGCTTCGCCCCCTGCCGCCGGCCCCCTCTCTCGGAGAATGGGTCATGGAAGAGCGAAGTCATGAGGCTTTGGCTTCGCCGTGAAGCAGTGTCGGGACTTGTTCCCAACCATCCTGTGGTGTTGGGTCCTCGTTTTGAAGAGACGGTGGCCCGCGTCTCCTCCTCTCCTCCTCCGCCTCCTCTCCTCCTCCTCCCTCCTCCCCCCTCCTCCCCCTCTTCCCTGCGTTTCACCCACCCAGTACAGCGCTTCGTAGCCCCATAGGAGCTCCACCGAAGGCCCCAGTACCCGCGCCCGCATGCGTCACGCACACCCAATTCGGCACACCCCTCACACGTTTCGTGGCCCCATAGGGAGCTCCACCGAAGGCCCCAGTGCCCGCGCCCGCATGCGTCACCCACACCCATTTCGGCACACCCCTCACACGTTTCGTGGCTCCATAGGGAGCTCCACCGAAGGCCCCAGTGCCCGCGCCCGCATGCGTCACCCACACCCATTTCGGCACACCCCTCACACGTTTCGTGGCTCCATAGGGAGCTCCGCCGAAGGCCCCAGTGCCCGCGCCCGCATGCGTCACCCACACCCATTTCGGCACACCCCTCACACGTTTCGTGGCTCCATAGGGAGCTCCACCGAAGGCCCCAGTGCCCGCGCCCGCATGCGTCACCCACACCCATTTCGGCACACCCCTCACACGTTTCGTGGCTCCATAGGGAGCTCCACCGAAGGCCCCAGTGCCCGCGCCCGCATGCGTCACCCACACCCATTTCGGCACACCCCTCACACGTTTCGTGGCTCCATAGGGAGCTCCACCGAAGGCCCCAGTGCCCGCGCCCGCATGCGTCACCCACACCCATTTCGGCACACCCCTCACACGCTTCGTGGCTCCATAGGGAGCTCCACCGAAGGCCCCAGTGCCCGCGCCCGCATGCGTCACCCACACCCATTTCGGCACACCCCTCACACGTTTCGTGGCTCCATAGGGAGCTCCACCGAAGGCCCCAGTGCCCGCCCGCATGCGTCGGCACACCCCTCACACGCTTCGTGGCCCCATAGGGAGCTCCACCGAAGGCCCCAGTGGCTGCGCCCGCATGCGTCCACCACACCCATTCGGCACACCCCTCACACGTTTCGTGGCCCCATAGGGAGCTCCGCCGAAGGCCCCAGTGCTGCCGCCCGCATGCGTCCCGCACACCCAATTCGGCACACCCCTCACACGTTTCGTGGCCCCATAGGGAGCTCCACCGAAGGCCCCAGCGCTGCCGCCCGCATGCGTCACGCACACCCAATTCGGCACACCCCTCACACGTTTCGTGGCCCCATAGGGAGCTCCGCCGAAGGCCCCAGTGCTGCCGCCCGCATGCGTCACGCACACCCAATTCGGCACACCCCTCACACGTTTCGTGGCCCCATAGGGAGCTCCACCGAAGGCCCCAGTGCTGCCGCCCGCATGCGTCACGCACACCCAATTCGGCACACCCCTCACACGTTTCGTGGCCCCATAGGATGCTCCACCGAAGGCCCCAGCGCTGCCGCCCGCATGCGTCACGCACACCCCATTCGGCACACGCCTCACTCGTTTCGTGGCCCCATAGGGAGCTCCACCGAAGGCCCCAGTGCTGCCGCCCGCATGCGTCAATCACACCCAACAAATTCGGCACACCCCTCACACGCTTCGTGGCCCCTCACACGCTTCGGCCGCACTCATATGCGTCCCCGCCACCCATCCCGGCACGCCCCTCGCAACAACAAGTTTCGTGGCCCCATAGGGAGCTGCACAGTAAGCCCAAGTGGCACCGCCCGAATGCGTCACCACCCGCACCCAATTCGGCACACCTCTCACACGCTTGGTGGCCCCATAGGGAGCTGCACCGAAGGCCCCAGTGGCGCCGCTCACATGCGTCCCCGCCACACATCCCAGTACACCCCTCACGCGCTTCGTGGCTCCATAGGGAGCTCCACCGAAGGCCCCAGTAGCGGCGCTTACATGCGTCTCGGCCACCCATCCCGGCACTCCTCCCGCAGCAGCATCATGTTTCGGGGACCCATAGGGCTCCACTGGAGGCCCCAGTGGCAGCCCTCACATGCGTTTCCGCCACCCATGTCGGCACGCCCCGCGCGTGTTTCATGTCCCCATTGGGAGCTTCACCGAATGCCCCGGTGGCACCCATCTCGGCACACCCCGTGGGGAATTCCACTGAAGATGAAACCCGCAGCTGCGGTACTGACAACTGCATATGGTTGGGTTCTTCGCCAGGCTAATTTGTTTTTTTCGACCCTGACCCTACGGATCTGCGAGGGGGGCCGCCGAATTTCAGAAGTGTGGCAAATCCCCTGTGGTTTTGGACCCTGAGCCCGCCGATCTGCGTGAGGGGTGCCACCGAATTTCAGAAATGTGGCAAATCCCGTGTAGGTTTTTTTGACCCTGACCCCGCCGATCTGCGTGAGGGGTGCCACCGAAGTTCAGAAATGTTACAAATCCTTTGTGTTTTTGCACCCTGACCCCGCCGATCTGCGTGAGGGGTGCCACCGAAGTTCAGAAATGTTACAAATCCTTTGTGTTTTTGCACCCTGACCCTGCCGATCTGCGTGAGGGGTGCCACCGAATTTCAGAAGTGTGGCAAATCCCTTGTGTGTTTTGGACTCTGACCCCGCCGATCTGCGTGAGGGGTGCCGCCGAATTTCAGAAATGTGGCAAATCCCTTGTGTTTTTTGACCCTGACCCCGCCGATCTGCGTGAGGGGTGCCACCGAAGTTCAGAAATCTTACACATCCTTTGTGTTGTTTCACCCTGACCCCGCCGATCTGCGTGAGGGGTGCCGCCGAATTTCAGAAATGTGGCAAATCCCATGTGTTTTTCGACCCTGACCCCGCCAATCTGCGTGAGGGGTGCCACCGAAGTTGTTTCGCAAATCCCTTTGTTTGTTGCACCCTGACCCTGCGCCACCGAATTTTAAATATGTGGCAAATCCCATTTTTTTTCACTGTGACCCCGCCGATCTGCGTGAGGGGTGCCACCGAATTTGAGAAGTGTGGCAAATCCACTGTGTTTTTGGACCCTGACCCCGCCGATCTGCGTGAGGGGTGCCACCGAATTTCAGAAATGTGGCACATCCCGTGTTTTTTTTGGACCCTGACCCCGCCGATCTGCGTGAGGGGTGTCAATGTTTATTCACCCCAGCAATTCAGACAATACGATTTGGGCGTCTCAAAAATGCCCGTTTTGGGCCTCCCCCCCTCGCGGGGTCCGTCAACAAGGAACAGTAAGCAGCAAGAAGTCAACAAGGAACAGTAAGCAGCAAGAAGCAGAACTGTAACAGTGGAAAGTGGAAGCTGCAACTGGCACAGGAAACTGCGAACCTCCGGCCTTCAGCCTGGTGGCCCCACAAGGGGGCCGGCGGATTTGTTTTTTTCAGTGTTTTTTTTGCCTGCCCCTTTCTTGCTTCCTTGAGTCCTCCACGTCCACCCTCCCTCCCCCTCCGCTCCGCCCCTGCCTCCATCCCTCCCCGCCCGTCCGCCATCCATCTTTCCTACTTCTCCCCCTTCTACTTCCCTCCCCCCTCCATCCTCCTCCCTCCTGCTCC